GATGACTTGTACATTTGCAATGTTTTGATAGGAAAAGTTTGGATTAGGGGACTATTTGGAGCGTCGGCAGTGCAGTTGGCGCTTGACCGGATCATATTTTACATATCCAGGTACGATCTCCGCTATATAGTAATGAGTTCTTCGAATTTCATGATAACATCCATCAGACATTCTTACTGTAATTACAAATTGCATACAACTGCATAGAAATTCAAAGATATGTGCGAAGTCAACTAACCCTCACTGGCTCTGCATTGTTGAATAAGACCTAGTCGCATTCTTGAGGGTAGGCTCCGAGCTCCTCAGTGGAGTATAGTGTGTCCGTATAGTGAGCTTGATGATGACGATTTGTTTTGCTTCAATGCATATTGTCTTGTTAGCAATTTTACCAACAGAGAGGAGCTAATCTCTTTCCAGTGTTATTCTTTTTCTCAAGACAAGAGTGGCACTACTACTCCAGTTCTATCAGAAAATATGATCTATCAAATAAACAAACTGGAACAAATAAGCATTTATCAAAGTTGGGGTATTTTGTTGGTGAACTAAACAATAATGGTATTATTACGAAAGCAATGAGCATTATGTTGCGTTCTTAAAATATGTTCGCTTTAGTCAGAAGATTAAATAAAGTTGCAATTAACGAAATTGTTTTATTTTTCCAAAATTGTTTTCCTCGAATAATACTTTCAAACGTCAAAACGGAAATTGACAGATTGATTTTTTTAGGTTGGTAGCAACGTAGACTTGTTCATAATATTGCTAGCATTGAAAATGTCAATTTTTATTCTCCGTTTGTGTATCTAATTAGTCAAGAGTCCCGTCTCTTATTTTATATACTCTTTGTTAACAGCAGCCAAAGGGTAACACCAAAAAGAGGGGTCGTCGACGATTCGGCGGATTTTTTTTGACATGGCTTTTTGGCTTCATTTCATTATTTTGACATTTCGATGTCAACCGCTACGTATTTCATTAGAAAAAGGACTTATTCTCTCGTTTATCACCTGGTATCCACTTTTTTCACTCGAATAAGAGCATAAAGACAAACATCCACAACCGTCTTTGCTAGTTACTGTGAATGAGCATTACAAATTCAGAAAGAAACATGTGACACGAATACGAAAAAGGGCTTCCAGACCGTCAATGTGACAGAAATGTTTTCTGCCATCGTGACGAGCCAGCGCCACCACGGAATCGACTATAGCACGTCGTGCGATCATCGGCTAGTGATATAGGGTAAGCACACAAAAATGAGCGCGAGATGGCTAGTCCGCCACCGAACCCTAGAGAAGACGAGCAGGGCGGCTCCGAATTCTCGGAGGAGACGAGGAGGGACCGCCCGGCCGCCCCGCAGAAGACGTTCATAGCGCCGCCCGCGTCGCAGCTGCCCACTAAGCTGCAGTACGTGACGCGCCGAGTGTCCGGTCCGAGCAGCATCAAGAATGTGTACCCTACGGTGAAGACGGTGCGACGAGTGCCCACGTTGCCCGGGAAGCCGAAGGAGGCCACCACGAGTTCGGCAGGCGGCGACCGGCCGGGCCCTGCGCCCTCGGCGCCCGGCCGGAGCGCCCGCCGCGACCGCAACAAACGACACGTCTGTACCACCTGCGAAAAGCGATTCTCCAGTCCCGGCAAGCTCAGCCAGCATCTTCTCTCGCACACTGGTGAGCTTCCTTTCTCTTGTGAACTGTGTGATAAGCGTTTCAATTCAAAATTTAAGCTTGTGCGCCACGGTCTCATTCATAGTGAAGCTCGGGCCTTCGCATGCAACATTTGTGGTAAGACATTTAATAGGAAAGATCATCTCAGTAATCATGTGCGTATACATAATCCTGTTAAGAAAATGTATACATGTGAAAGGCCCGACTGTAGGAAATCCTATACATCTCAGTTGAGTTACCGTAAGCATGCTGCTCTGCATTCAGCTGAGGAAGGTAACCTTCAATGTAAGATCTGTGATGAGACTTTTAGCACTCGTCAGGAAATTGTCTACCATCTCAAAGTGCACTCCGGTAGCAGGACTGTGAAAAACGAGACTGATAAGAAATTTCCATGTGATTATTGTGACAGAAAGTTCTTCACAGCAAAAGATGTGCGTCGTCATCTCGTTGTACATACAGGTAGACGTGATTTCTTGTGCCCATATTGTCCTCAAAAATTTGGACGCAAAGATCACTTGGTCAGGCATGTCAAGAATGCTCACCCTGAGAAGTCTTGGAGGTCTGCAGCAGTGGGTACGTCAAGTGAACCACCACCAGAAGCATCTGCCTTTGAAGAGAGTTTCTCTGACTTTCCCATAGATGATGTAGATCTACAAATCTGGAATCCTCCATCACCTAAAGCAGGTACATCTGCGGGACGGACGAGAGTGCCATCCACAGATATCATTGTGGAAATGCCAACAGATCTTGATATTAAAGTGGAACCTTTAGAAGTAAAACAAGAACAACGGACTTCACCTGCGTATGAACCTTTTGGTCCTGAATATGAAGTGTTTGTTATACCATCAACGTTTCCAGCAACGCCGTCCAACTTGCCTTATATACCACAGCCGCTATCTGATCCCGAGCATTTACTCAGTCCCGATAGTGTACAATCTATCTATATGGATCCAGGGGAAGGGACTTCAGGGTTACCAAGTGACATACTTCTATTAGAAGAAGGTGAGCCAACGTATGGGGCAGAGGAAGGTCGCCGACAGCGGCTGCCGGCGTTCACGCAAGCCTTCCAGACAACTCAGAATCCCAAGCCGCCTCCTCCACCACCGCCACCGCACTAGCCGCGCCGTGCGGCAAATTCCTGCATTTAGCTTTTGTTGATTGAGAGCTACCTCATTAGGTAAGGTCTATCTAAGATGTAATATAGTCCCCGTCTAATGCATAATTCAATGTTCTATTTTTATTTTTATAAACAAACATGGAGGATGTCTTCAGAATATATTGCCAAATTGTAAGTATATTTTGTTCGTCTCGGATATACCAAAATATTTCCGAATTCTACATGAAAATGTGATCTAGTCGTGTATGTACTTTCGGAATTGTAAATTGTTTATTATTAGTGTACAACTTTGAGATGCAGTGTAAGTGGGACCAACTGTGAGATGTTAATGGCGATACAGTAGTTCGTAGTTTTCGATGGGTCACACAGAGTTCTGTAGGTTGACAATAATATTAGTGAACGAAGGGTAATCGGAGGATATATATGTCTCTTGAAAGTGGCACGCTGTATAATATGTTTAGAGATGCATGCCACTTTCGAACGTGATATAATAATACAGCAAAGAGCATATTCCTCCGAATGTGTGTAATATCATAGTGTGGGTACTATATCATCAGATCTGTTTATAAATAGAATAAAAATCAGGATAAATAAAGCAATTGTAGGGTAAGGATACTTATTCTATGTTTTAGAATAATTTTGTATTCCGTAATCCTTTTGCATACTTCAGCTAGCAACAAATGCAATAAACTACCATTATACCTCAGAAGTGTAATACTTCCTTAGCATATAAGACAATAGAATTGGGTCACTTGTGATAAGCAAACTAAATGAAGTCTGAGTTTACATCTTTTACATACAGTATGTGCCAACATATTTTTAAACATTTCATTGAATAAGATAATTCAAATTAGCTAAAATATTTTATATACGATTTTACAATTGCTAACAAGCTGTATACATTGTTTCAAAATCTGTTCAAAGTCTATGGAAATTGTTGATAAACATATCAATGAAGTTAATCCGAATATGGACTATTGAATCTATGCTAACATAGTGCAATCAAATTTTTTGCCTTGGTTTTAACAACTTTGTAAATATCAAATATAATATTTAATTTACAAGATTTTCACTATCTTTATTATATATAACTTCAAAGTTGGACTTAAAGTTTTTAGGCGAATAATTCAAGTAAAGAAAAAAAAACTTTTGTACAATAGCAGGCCATGGATAAAAGTCTTTTAAGGCATTAATTTCTGTGTTCAAAACAGAAAGATTTTAATATTTTGCCGTTTTCATAAAAAAATATAATTTTTTGTCTATAATTTGTGTTAATAATATTGATATAATCGTTCTTGGTTCAGAAAATTTTAAATATGAAAAAAAAAATCTTTAAGTAATATTTTCTTGCGTAACTATCTTTATTGAATGTTTGGCATTTAGTTTTGTCAAAGAATGAAAAGTTTTATGAAGATCCAATGTTGTATGTTCTTTATATTAATGATTTTGTAAATAATTCTAATCTTTTAGGTTAATAGGTGTAAAAAAATTTAAACTACCTCAATTGCAACTTACTGTTATGTCTAGAAATATAAATAAAATTAGGTTAGTGAGAGAAAAGTTAAGATTTTTTTTGTTTCTTATCGAGAAAAACATCAAATGGATAGCTGCTATTTTTGTGTTTAACTGTTTACGTTAGTGTGTGCTGCAATATCTAAATCTACGTATGTATGAGTAAGTGTTTAAATCATTTCGCTTTTTATAATATCAACACAAGAAAATTAAAAAAAAATCAGCATATTTGATATCGTTCAAAATTTTTTTGAAAAAAAAAAACAAATAATTCTTCCCATGTATAGTAAAGTTTATTTTAAGTAATTCTTTTTCGTTCCGCAAATTTAATTTGTTTAGAACTTTCATATAGAAAATAGAAATTTCATTTCACAATAAAACTTTTTTTCTATTCAACGCAGTTATTGACTAGTCATACAAAAGCAGCACAAATGAGCTAAAAAATAATATTTAAAACTCCAAACAGATATTAAATGTGAAATAGTACACGTAACATAGCATATATATATTTTTAAATATAGTATTGGTACAGAAATATACAACGATGTATGCAATATTGTATTTTAGTTTTTAGATGTTTGATATACATTATTGGTTAACATGTCAAAGACTATAACCGTAATATTCCTGTCTCTTTTCTTTCTATAGATTTTTCTATTCGTATTTATTTATTTAATTATAGTCAACTGACGATAAAAGTTAATTCTACATTGTCTTGTAACACAAAGTGTTCATTTTTTCCTTTTTATTGGGAATTTTTTATTGCATAATTGTAATTGTTAATTTTTTTTTGTATCCCAGTTTTATAATGAGTGTGACTCATTATTTTTTTATTTTTTTTTTAAATCTAAAACATGTTGTGTAATGCCAAATAATTACATAATTATATTTTTGAATTTAAATTCTTTAAGCTTTCGAATATTTTTTTTATATTTATGTAATCTATGGTAAGTTCAGTAAATACAACAAAGGTGCTATGAGTTGGATAAATACATTTTTTAATGATAAAAAAATGAAAAATAATATTTTGTAATTATTTAATTATTGTCTATATCAACATTATCTTTGGATGATTAAAATAATTTCTAACTCATAGCAAGCCATGATACTGATCAAATAGGATACGTAATTTTGGTACATAACATAGGGGCCTTATTAAAATTAAAAAAAAATATATGTAGATCTTTGTTTGAAATGTAAAACAAAAAAAAAATATTTTTTAGAGTTCGTAAGATGTTTTAATAGAAAAGATCTATTTTTGTTACGCTTTTTCGAGTAAAAAATCATTTTTTATATTGAATGTTGAAATACACTGTTTGTGTAACAAATAGCGACTGTTATGTTAGAATTGAGAAAAATCTGTGTGTGCTTTTTAATATATATACAATTTGATATATAAAATTTTATATGTTCATATAAATTTTGTCAAAAAAAAATTTTTTTAGCTACAAAAATAAATGTTATTGTGGATAGGATTGGATAAAATTTACATATGAATTTCTTGCATTTTTTAAAAAAATATCAGTTTTTTTTTCAATTCTAACATATACAGCGGAGAATTAATTAATATTTTGATACATTGTATTTAGAAACTAACAATTTTGAACGGAATAAACCCTCGCAGGATAAAAAAAATATTGAATAAACATTGTACCTGGTTTATAAAATGTTGTAGTTACTGTCTTCAATATAATAAATATTTTGGACATCAATAGCTTTTAATTTTTAATATATTTATAAGTTTGTTTTTTCTTCATACATACAGGACTGTCAACTTTTTTGTTCACTTTAGTATGTAAAAATCATGGCATAAAATGTGTCAAAAGAGTAACTAAGGAATATTTTTTGAAGGTGAATAGACAAAAAAAGGAATATAAAATATGTTAAAGTGGTACGAGTCAGATTCCATTCAGACTTAGTAGAGCAGACTAGAATTTATCGCAAAGAAAATTGAGCTTTATGTAATTGAAATAAGGTTTAATTTTACTTTCCAAGTATATTAAGAGTAAGCTTAAAAAATGAAAAGGAAAATTAAACCTTATTTCTTTTAGTATAGAGCTCAATTTTAAAAATCAACTCCGCCCTTTAGGATTGGGTATTGAAATAAACATATGCAGCTAATATAGCTGAAATACATTTTTATTGGTGTTCAATTCATTAACAAATAACACGTAGACTTAGAAACCAGAAATAACAAAAAAAATAAATACGTACCTAATCCATCGGTAAAAGATAAAATGAAGGAAATGCATAGGACAAAACGGTTAACTATAAACATGAAATTTCTAACACATGTCAACTTTACTGTGCGTTTCCACTAACCAAAAATATATATTAACATAACTTTTCTTTTGAAAGAGTATGATTTTTTTTATTAGTGGAAACACACGTTTAATATAAAATTATACATTTACACTGGATATACAATATTGTAAATACAAGAGTCATCAAACTCGTATATGTAAAATTTAACTAGAACTGAAATTATACTAAAAAAAAACAAAATTGTACTAAAATACTAACCACCATAAGGCGGGAGAGGCCGCGGTATATAGTATACTTTTTTTATTAGAAAATATTGCTTCGTAACAAAGATGGCGCCAAATGTGCCGAATAAATGCAATTATGGGATAATTGTTTTACAAAATCGATGTTATATGACCACTTTATCGATATTCGAATGGCAAATCGATATTTCGAGCATATCAATAGAATTTTTTATTTAAGATATATTATTTCCATGAATATTTTTAAAGTTTTATATTGATTTTACTATTTTTGTTTTCATAACATTGACGTTATGATTTTTATAATCTATATATATATATATATATTTATTTGACTTTATCGGTGGTATATTATTGTTATAATAAAATTCATATTAATTAAAAACATCACTATTTTATCCATATAAAGCCACAAAACATCGATAGTATTGCTTTCGATTTTACAATTACCATAATCGATATCTAAGTTAATCACAACATCGATATTTTTTAAATATTTCAACATCGATGTTGATCACATATTTGATATATCGATTCGTCATTTTTTTTAATTAATAACTAAATCACTGCATTTTATATGTAACAATTATTGTTAGCCAAAATGGCTTTGTAATTGAATTTTTAACATCTTAAATTTATATTTCGTAGTTATTCTGGTAACACTTGAAAATAGTTATATTTAATTGGTTATCATCCCTAACAAGTTAACACCAGTCACCAAATGTACAGTGCGACAAATTTATATGACCCGGTGAGTTGCATTTATATCGCCGTTAATTCTGTCATAAAATATGTAAAATTATATATAGACATAGAAACTGAAACGAAGATAAAGACAGTTACAGTTCAACAGGAAATTTGTAAGCATTTTTTGGGTTAGTTCATTTATACCCCTAATCTATACCTCCTAGGGTTAATAGATGTCCAAGTATTACCCCCGTGAAAGTTCTAACGTCCTTTATAATTATGTACAATCACGCCAACAAAAAAAAATTAAGGAGATTTAATATACATTCGATTTTCATAATAAAATTTTACAAATTTTAAGTAAGATAAAAGATTTTACAGTTGTAATATAAATTAAATTTATTTAAAAAAAATAGTAACGCTTTTATTTATGACTAGCTGTCAACCGCGACTTCGTCCGCGTGGAATGAAATAAAAGTTAGTTCCCGGCAATCATACATATTTTCTCGCCGTAAAAACCATCTTTGATCTTCAACGAATATAAAAAAAAAAGAATTGGCCAAATTAGTCCAGGCGTTGTTGAGTTATGCGCTTACCAACACATTTTGCGAATCACTTTTATATTATAGATAATAATAAAAGCAATGAATTGAAATTATACAGAATGTTTAATTTCTCATTGGGGGTATACTTGGACATGTATAACTTGGGTGAATAGATCTGGGGGTAAATGGCTTAACTTAATTCACATTGATAAATGGCGCTAGTGAGCTACTTACGCTTACCGGGTCACGACAAGTTTATCGATTAACAATACATATTTAGGCATAAAAAATGACAAAGACATGACAAATCTACATTACAAGGATCTTAAAACTTTTAACATTAACACCGGGTCAATTAAGTTAGTCGTACTATACTCCGTCACCAGCGAGCCTGCGTAACCTGTGAACGAATTGATATATCAAAAGAAATCATTTAACCGTCCTTCGTCTTGTCTTTCTCACTTTACCAGACTTCCTATTCTTTATACTATCAACTTTTAAATCATTCTCTGTCGGTTTGTCCGTTTTACACACTGGATCATAAGTGTCATGATCTGAACTATCAATACCGTTCTCCATACGTATCGTATTCCCATAAGGCTGAGTATCCATATCTTCATCAGAATCATCACAATTTCCATTAGTTTCGTGACGTTTCGTATAACTTTTGTACCTAACTTCCTCGTCTGATTCTGCTGTTGATCTTACTCTGTACCTTCGGTTAATATTTTGTAGAGATTGATTCTTCTGTAATTCATTGTGGATTGAATCTCTTATATTCATTTCTGATGTTGATTTGGTGCAGTATTCCTCATGATCTGATTCGGAATATTTTCTTGATAGTCTTCTTGTGAATGTATGGTCTCTCTGGTCTCTTTGGTCTCTGGTCTCCGAGTACTGTGGCTGGTGGGTGTGGATTGGTGGAGACCGCAGCCGGACCTCCGGACCACCGCCGTATATACCGGTAAAGAATCTCCACAATTCTTCGCTGAGTTGCGCGTGATCTGAACCGGGTTTTAATAAATATGTTGTTATGCCGTCCATTTCCTGAAATGATAATTAATCAGAACATTAATAATCTTTATTGAAAAAATATTAAAAACATGACAAGACAATTAATGCAAGACTTTTGTATGAAAATGTGAATTATTTGATAATTAAACACAGAGAACGAAAACTCGACATATGCGGAGAAGGAATAGTTCGTGTATGTGCCAACGTGTACATACAGTCGAGGAAATTTATTTCCTACCCATTTCAATTAAGTCATCTGCGCGTTGCGCACTGCCCTTCCCGCTCAACCTTTCATCGCAAGCGCAGTACCAGCTGATCATCTAGGCTAGGTCTAGTTGAGAAGGAGGAGCTATCATTCATATAATACAAGTAATTTTTATACTACATTTTCCTAATCTCCAGGTAGCAGCTGCCCCTCTCTTCCCCCCATAACGATATCCATGAAAAGTCGTGTTTGCACAGCATGACTTATACGAAGTTCCGACCCGTCAAGATATTTGAAATTAACTATACTATTGCATGTAGTAATTTATAACCTGTGCTATGACGATGTTAGTGTTGTCGACTGGCGGGGGTGGCGGCGGCAGGGGGGAGCGGCTGCGCACGAAGCCCTGCCACAGTCTGAACCACTGCATACTGATCGCGTAGATTGAACACGGGTGTTCCTGCTCCTGAAATATACAAATATATCATTCGCGAAGGATATGGTTACATGAGAAAATAACAATAAGTGTCGGTGGCTCAGGGGTTAAGCTGCTTGTAATCTGCAGGTCCTGGGTTCGAATCCCGCCATCTACCAATGCGTTTTTCGATTTCTGTCTTACATATATACATTTATCCGATTCTACGGTGAAGCAAAACATCGTGATGTTGCACATATCTGAGAAGAACTTCAAAGATATGAGAAGGAAGAAGAAAGATGTGTGAAGTCAACTCGCACTGGGCCAGCGTTGTTTAAGGCTTAATCTTAATATTATTTGCTTAGTTTGAAGTTAATTTTGTATGAAAAACTTTACGATTTCTAAATTTCGTTAATTTCAATTGAGGCAAAGTTGCTTTTTTTTTCTATTATCTTTAAATAGATAAAAAGCAATACAAACTTGGAATAGTGTATGTAGATCAGCGAAGGCAGCTAGTTCCCGCGCTCGGCGCACACGCAGACGTTGCTGTGCGCGTGCGCAGACGCCGCACTCGTGCGCGTGCGACACTGCCGGACCGCCACCGAACCTGCACGCGTTTTTTAGAACTAATTTTTAGAAGTAATTCTACGTACATATGATTCTAGCTAATCCTAGCCCAATTATTTATTAAAAATGGGCTAAAAATCATGTGTTTGTATGCTTACTGGTTATGCAGGAATTGCCACAACGGCTGCGGTAGTACTGCAGCAAGTGCTGGCAGCTGCTCCGCGCGCTCAGGCCGCACTCCACCGTGTACACATACAAAGTCCCCATTATCAATAGGACCAGGTTCAGCCCATGTGTTGAATCTGTACAGACAAGGAATTTTATTTACTAACTATTAATGATAAATTTCTTATAATATACTGAATTATAGTTGTTATGACAGTTTGAAGTACAAATGTTTACAAATATCTTCACGGCTCGGAACATCGTGAACAGAAAATATTGTTAGTTGTGACGTCGATGACCTTGAGCCGGTAAGATATTTGAAAAGACATATACAATGCTTTTATAAAGTGGGGAGCTAATTTAATTCTTTGGTTGGTCATTTCAGTACAAATAAGCATCTTCAAGTAAATGACACAATTTTAAAAAGGACCTAGTCTTATCTATTGCCAAGTCATGCATCTTACTAAGATAAATGCGCAAGTCTAGATAATTGGATTAATTTTTGATCTTGGATCTTGATAAAATTTGTCATAGATGTAGTACATAGTCTGGAAGACCACATAGTCTAATTAAGATTTTTAATCGCAGACGGATTCGTGAACAGTTAGTAGTTAAATAAATTGTGAACATTACTTGTTAAGCCACTGCTTTGAAATATAAAACTTGATGTCGTTAGGCTCTACATTCGTAGATTCCAATATTTCCGAGGCCTTTTGTCGTAGCACTGTCATCTGCGGATTAACTTTCCTGTAAGTAGAACAAATCAATTAATTTAAGCTACAGCTTATTTGTAATGGTAAAAGAAATATTAGTCAATTTACAAAAAAAAACTTCTAATATTTTTTTATATAAAAAAAAATACTATTAAATTAGGCAAATTATATTAATTGCTAGCAATCCTAGGTAATTCTTAAAATTTTTAAAATATGTTTACTGATTAAGGCATACAATTTGTAAGCAAGTAAAATCGATGCTGGATAAGCGAGAAACCTCTATAAGCGAGAAACTCGAGTTAGAGAGAAACCTCTATAAGCGAGAAACTCGAGTTAGAGAGAAAACTCTATAAGCGAGAAACTCGAGTTAGAGTGAAACCTCTATAAGCGAGAAACTCGAGTTAGAGAGAAACCTCTATAAGCGAGAAACTCGAGTTAGAGAGAAACCTCTAGAAGCGAGAAACTCGAGTTAGAGAGAAAACTCTATAAGCGAGAAACTCGAGTTAGAGAGAAACCTCTAGAAGCGAGAAACTCGAGTTAGAGTGAAACCTCTATAAGCGAGAAACTCGAGTTAGAGAGAAAACTCTATAAGCGAGAAACTCGAGTTAGAGAGAAGCCTCTATAAGCGAGAAACTCGAGTTAGAGAGAAAACTCTACAAGTGAGAAACTGGGATTCAGAGAACAACCTCTTTAATTAGGAGTCATTGTCTAGTCCCGACGGAGGACCTCTATAAGCGAGAAACTTTTTTAGAGAGAAACCTTTATAAGCGAGAAAATTATCTCCATCCTTGTATTCTCGCTTATCCAGGACTAACTGTTTGAGATACTGTGATATTGTTGTATACATACAGGCGAATGTTTACATGGATGGATGTTTGAAAGTATCTTCAGAACAGCCAACATAATGAAATTTGGCACAAATATAGAACATAGTCTGGAAGAACACATAGGCTACATATTAAGGAGTAATTACCTGTAGAATAGGACGTAGGCTTCACAGGAGTGTAGATGATGTGGGGGCACGGGTGTGACAGCGGCGTCGTCGAATGCGTGCCAGCCGGTGGCGGTGCGCGCCACGCAGGTGTAGTGCCCCCCGCCCGCAGTACCCGCGTGACATATCACCGCGCTCAGGGCGTACCGTGACACGCGAGATGTGCATTCTGTTTATATCAAATTCATTTAATATATAACATTATTGTTTAATAGCACTAACTGTGGGTTTCTGAACAAAATCTCCGTTTAAAGCATATTTTTATCTCTTTTGTTGAAGATGAAAGACAAGGATGATTATATCTTTTATAGAGATTTTGGTTTACCACGGTAAGTCATATTTTTATCAATAAATATTTGAATTGTATATTATGATGAATAATGATAAAAAAATGAAGATTTAAACTGAACAGATTTGAGTACGTACAAACATATACAAAACAAATTTACTTTTATTATTTTAGATGGATGGATGGATGTTTGAAGATATCTCCGGAACAGCTTAACGGATCACGATGAAATTTGTCGTACACATACAACATGGTCTGGAAGAACACAGGCTTATTAAGTTTTTTAAATTTCGCACGGACGAAGTCACGGGTGATAGCTATCTATTATCTAGTTAAAATAGTGTAAAAAAATATTAAAAATCCGTTACCTTTATGTGTATAGGGCGCCATATTTAAATCATTGATCGGAAATGATACTCTGGCAGCGACTTTTGCACTAAACATGAGTTCATGTCTGAATCTCTTCAGATGTACACATAGGACTTCAGGCAGACGCACCACACCCGACATCTTCACACCGTTACGAAGCTTATTACAGCGGGAACAGCTGGAATATTATACTATCATTATTGCACGATTGACAAAAGATTGTCGGTGGCTCAGGGGTCAAGCACTTGACTTGCAATCTGCAGGTTCTGGGGTCGAATCCCGCCATGTACCAATGTGTTTTTCCATTTCCGATTTACATATGTACATTTATCCGAAGTTCTTACGGTGAAGGAAAAGATCGTGATGCAACCTGCACATATCTAAGAAGAAATTCAAAGATATGTGTGAAGTTAACCAACCCGCACTTGGCCAGCGTGGTTGACTATGGCCTATTTACCCTTAACTTAGTGTAGGCTCCGAGCCCCTCGGTGGGGACGTATAGTGAGCTGATGATGATGATGATGAAAAGAGTTATCTATACATCTTACTATACATATCACAAATGTATGGATGTTTGTTTGAAGGTATCTCTAGAACTACTGAATGGATCTCGATGAAATTTGGCATACATATAGAACATAGTCTGGAAGAACACATAGGCCACTAATTATCTTTTTTTTATGTCGCGGGACACCGCTTGATGTTTAATGTACCTGTACATATTATCGCCCTTGAGTTCGTCCGCACTGAAGAACGCGGCGAGACAGTCCTGCAGCGAGACAACAGGGCCGTAGAACCACGACCTTAGCCAGCTCAGTACCCACCATACCTAAACAAACGTAATTTACCGTCAGTTTCCATTGATGATATTAAAACCTATATAAGCGAGAGACTGGTTAGAGTGGAACTTTCATGCGCGAGAAACTTTGGTGAGAGTGGAAACTTTTTTAAGCTAGTAACTCGAGTAAAAACCCTTGAACAGTGAGAAAAACATCCCTTGGACTCTCGCCTATCCAGGTTCGACTATATTCATATGGTATATACAAGCTTTTATTTACCTGTTTCTTTTTTTAAGAATAATTTAGGTATAAATAGTTAGAATCCTTTATCGCGAATGACGTGCTTTCATTACAAATTGTCAGAATAATTAGTGAGGGGACATAAACGTTGACATTTTAGTAAGGCTAGTGTTGTGCCAGTACACCGGCACACTGCCGGATTTTCTTCCTAACAACTAATATATATATTATAGCTTACCCAGGACTCTTGAGAGTTATGGGGCACATGATGGTTCAGTATGGGCTGCTGACATCTCAACACCGCGAGATGTTCCCGCGATGGTATCGGCAGAGATAGATCTTGGAATGTTTCCACACGCGTCGATACCTATAATATTATAAACATATTTATTAATTACAAGATACATATTAAATAACTTCAAGGTCACATTCGTTTAGGCATATTTCGTTACATGAGAGAGACAAAAGATATAATATATGTAAAAGGAAAGAGAGCAACTAATATATCAAATCTTATTACACATAGAAATGAGAAATGCTCTTATATACTAGCTGTCGCATGCGACTCCGTTTGTGTATTAAAAAATGTAATAAGTAGCCTATGCCTTCTTCCCGACTATGTCCTACAATAATGTCAAATTCCAGCAAGATCCTTACGACCGTTCTGGAGATACCTTCAAACAAACATCCATCCAAATATTCTCATTTATAATATTAGTAAGAGTATGACGTAATATTACATTTAATAGTAATTTAAAAAGATTTATTAAGTTTCATTTGACTCCAAATTCATAAGGTCTCTTAATAAGGGTCCATCTTTGGTATAATATAAAGGTCCAGAACTAACCCTATCGCAGATGAGACACTGTACGGAGGAGAGCAGTTTGCCATCAAACACGTCAGAGACGATGCTGCGGTACCTTGCCCCGCCCCGCCCGCCGTCACCCCCGCCCGCACCCACCACACACTTGCTCCTGAGAATTACAACGCGCGAGAATTACGATACGCGAGAAACTGCTATAAGTGATTGTTCCGACGGACAACCTTCATGAGCGAGAAATTCGATTAATAAACTTCTAAAAGCGAGAAAATCGCGGTCCCTTAGATTTGGAAGAGATTTGATGTATTAACATAGTATATAAATATTTTGTATGTTTATCAAATTTTATATTTAATATTAGAGTTTTACTAGCTGATTCACTCAGAGTCGGAGTTTAAACTTTACTAAACAACTTTGTCACTGAGTGATTCAATAAAAGGTTGCTGAACACGTTAGCTCCCAGAATGATTTTTCAAAAAAAAAAATTGTTTTCATTTTGTCATAAAACATTTAAATGGGGCCTTGAAGGTCACGCTGTATACAACAATTCGATTAAAAGCCACAGCGAGGTGTTGAATGGAAGTATGGCTTGTCATATATATAGTCCGACATGGCAGCTAACGTGTTAAGTCACAATTCATCTAGTCTTAGCGCAAAACTTATTGTGGGTTTCAGAGAACAAAATCTCTGGATAAAAAATGTCACCCAAACAAAGACAATATGACTTTTTAAGGGGAGATTTTGATGTGAGAAATCCACGATTAGGGTTATTTGGTACAAACTCTGGTGGGTCTATCCTCGGCTCTGGAGCGTCGCTGCCGCCGCTGGAGCATGTCTCGTATCTCTCGTCAGCTTCACTTGAACATGATAACTCTGATTCAGAACCTACATCGCGTTGTGATGAATCTGCACCTATATGAAAAAAATATATATTCAATCCTGTACTAAAGAAGGGGTAGGAAGAAATTATAGAAAAAAATTTTGAACGATTTTGGTACAGACATTTTTAAATGTTTTTTTTACTATTTACTTCAAATGATAAGTATATTTGTTTATTTATATGCCACTTTTATTATTATCTTTTGCTATTATATTGAAATATAATATGGTAAAAATTATACAATCAGATGTATTTTTATTTTTATGTATTTAAAAATATTATTTCTGTTATTAAAATGAAAATTATTATATATTAGCTGTCGCTGAATGAAAAAAAAAACTTAATAAGTATATGTGTTCTTCCAGACTATGTTCTATATGTATGCCAAATTTCAGCAAGATATGTCCATCCATCGAAACTTTCGCATTTATAATATTAGTAAGTGGGTATTTATATTCTACTTTTATAGTAATTTTCTGATAATAATTTCAAAAGATATACAGATTCCAGTTCTTATTAATATATGTTTAAAACAAGAGCAAATAGATGTATTTTGTATTGTTTTGTCTTTATTATGAAAATTATTATATATATAAAGTTTTAAATGTTTCATCATCATCAGCTCACTATATGTCCCCAACGAGGGGCTCGGAGCCTATCCTAAGTTAAGGGTGACTAGGCCATAGTCAACCATGCTGGTCAAGTCCGGGTTGACTTCACACATATCTTTGACTTTCTCAGATATGTGCAGCATCACGATGTTTTCCTTCACCGTAAGCACGTCGGATAAATGTACATATGTAAATCGGAAATAGAAAAACACATTGGTACATGGCAAGATTCGAACCAATTACCTGCAGATTGCAAGTGAAGTGCTTAACCCCTGATCCACCGACGATGTTAAATGTTAACTTACCATTAATTTGATAAGTCAATGCGTTGTACGTGAACTGATGTGTACCCGCGAAGCTCGCAGACCTTTTATGACGAGAGTTTTCGCCCTCTGAATTTGATTGCACTCTACAAAATATTATTAAAATATATAAATTTGTAAATATATATAAAATATATGAAAAGAAATGTACATACACACATTTGATTATTTACACCGGCTCTTGAAATACCACGACCACACAAAAGACAGGCGTCAAGTGGAAGTAATTCCAACTACAGTCTGAGGAGTGTGCGTCCCGAAGGTAATAATTTAGTCCTCTTTCCCTTCCCACCCTTCTTCTTATAAGTGGAAGTCGACTTTCCCGATGAGAGGATGCATGGAGAGGGTAGATATTTTCTTTAGGCAACGCATATGCAATTGCGTATATCTATGGGCAACGGTCACTTCGCTATTTCAGCGATTTCAGGTGGCCGCTCGCTCGTTTGCCACATTATGATATATATATAAAAAAAAATGTTGTTTCGTATGTTACCTAGTATATCCCGCAGGTCTGCCCTCACTGCAGGGAGACTTGCGACGCGAGCGCGCGAAGTACGGCGCGTCACTAGCTACGGGACACGAGGAGATCAGACAACGTTCATTCACAATCATTGCTAAACTATCTTAACTTGTTTCTTTAAATCAAATTTATGTCATAACTAGCTGTCGCCCGCGACTATATCTTATCTGCGCGGAGTTTAAAACTAAATACTATGTTCTATATGTATGCCAAATTACATCGTGATCCGTTCAGCCGTTATGGGGATACTTTCAGACAAACATCCATCCATTAAAACATTCGCATTTATAATATGAGTGAGAATAACTAAGATATTCGGAAATTCAAATACGAACGAAAGTGTCATACAATTCTTTATATTATCAATTTAAATGTAAAATTTGAAAAAGAATTACTTAACTTAAACTTAAGATTAGTAAACTCCAATATAGTAGAACTTGGGTAAGCGAGAAACCTCTATAAGCGAGAGTCTTTACCAAGTTTCGATGGAAGACCTCCATGATGGAGTCGCCACTACCTATAAAACGCCATAACCTTGTCTTCCCCCACAAGCACGGTATCTTTGTTAAGATTTCCCTCAAAAAAAAAATATAGTAGAAATAGTGCATACCCCCCGAGGAGGCGGCTCTGCGACGCACGTGCAGACTCCTGCTCTCCTGGTGGTCACCATCCGCCTCCGAGCACAGCGCTTCCTCTCTTGTATCCCACATCTAAACACACACATTTATATTTACACTAGCTGTCGCCCGCGACGCCGTCCGCGCGGACTAAAAAAAATTAGTAGTCCACATATGCTTCCAAAACTATGTTCTATATCTATGCCAAATTTACAAACAAACATCCATCCATCTAAACATTCGCATTTATAATATTAGTAAGATTACATACAGACACTCGAATTTTATTAATATATGTATATGTATAGATAAAAAACTGGTAAATACCGGTTCTTTGAGCTCTTCATGCAGCTGGTCCATGAAGCAGCGCAGAAACTCCTGCGTATCATGCTGATGGTAGCCGCGGAACATAGGGTATACCTGTATTAAAAAAAAATCAAGTGCCAACCCTAGGATAGAGTGAGAAGAAAGATACTTAATAAGTGCTGTTAGAAAGAGACACAAATAGGTCAAAAGTAACAAAATAAATTGCCTTGTTATTTTTATCAGGAGACACAGATTTTTTTCTATTTAGGGTTGGCACAAAATTATTATGTATATGTATTAGAGTGAGAAAGCGATATATTTTTATACACGTTATGTACTTACATTTCGTATACCATATAATATACCATTAGGTACAAGATAGCCTCTAGTTTTCTTACTCCACATTTCTTTAATTAATTTTTGGTATGCTCTGAAAAGAAAAAAAATGTTTACATACATATTTTGGAGTATGGTTACATTTAATTTGTATTCTCTAGAGTATCATAAACAATAGATGCTAGAATAATCGAGAGTTTATATCTAGACCCAATGGATAACCTCCATAAGAGAGAAAAATATCGCAATGCCTTGACCTATTACTTATATAGGTCCCACTGTACATCTATATATAAAAATCAATTGCTGTTCGTTAGTCTCGCTAAAACTCGAGAACGGCTGAACGGATTTATTTTATCGTGGTCTTGAAATGTTCGTGGAGGTGTAAAGGGTTTAAAAGGTGAGAAAATTCGAATAATTGCCAGGAAAACGCTTAAAACATCCCTTTTCTTTTCACCATATAAACAGCTGAATGTATCTCACTGAAACTTGGCATAGATGTTGAACATAGTCCAGAGGAACACACAGGTTAATAATTCGGACGGAGTCGCGGGCGAAAGGTAGTTAACAATATTTAATATTTTTAAATTAACTATTTCATTTGTCTATGCATAAAAGTAAAGTTGCTAACTTATCAAATTCCCTATCTCTTGGTCTAAGTATTTGTAGGTTTTCTGTGTAAATTTAAGTCCTATGTCATTGCATTAAAGTCCAAAATCATCTAAACCTGCTTAATCCCGGTTTCTTATCGCCCGCTAAGACAGTCACTGCCGCCGCGCATTCCAAAAAATACGAAGTAAACGGCTGCGAATTGCTCAGAGCCTGCAGTGCCGCGTTCATATAACACGTGTTGCCCATGTTCTGAAGACCCACTAGACCTGCTGAATTCAATCTTATGATAGGAATAGGCATCATCAGCTCACTATACTGCTATGAGCCTACCCTAAGTCAGTGACTAGGCCACAGTCAACGCCGGCCCAGTGCTAGTTGACTTCACACTTAGTTAGTAAAAATCCTTTGAGGCAAATGTCGCGCTTTCGTTACCAAGACAAGTGTTAGATTGATTAGTGAGGGACATAAACGTCGACATTTTAGTAAGGCTACTGTTGCGCCACTACACCGGCACAGTGTCGGATTTTCTTCCTAACAACACATATATTTGAATCTCTTCTCAGATACTTGCATGCATCAAGATGTTTTCCTTCACCGTAAGAACGTCGAAGGTCGTACATATGAAAATCGAACAACACATTGGTAGATGGCGGGATTCGAACCCAGGATCTGCAGATTACAAGTCAAGTGCTTAACACTTGACACTTGCTAATGACACTAGTAAATAGGGTTCAGTTTATATTGCTCGTAATTCTTTGACACCTTTATTAGACCTGCTAGGATTTGAACATTGTTATATTTGCTATGACGTCACAATATAGCGGTGTTTCTATGTTTATATGGTTACCTCTAGACTGCGTTTCATCATCGTAATCCATATCATCAGGATCCAGGTCATCATCTCGCGCGCTGATGCCGAAGCTGCCGAGCCTCGCGCCGATAGAGGGGTCTAACGTCGTCGAGTCCGGGCACATCTGGAATTGCAAATTGGACATTTATAGCTGCAAAATTGATGTTTTTCCAAACAGGTTTTTTTTTAGTTTGTTCAAAATAAATTGTTTATCCTAACTTTTTTATATTCACGACTTTGGAGGACAAATTTGGTGTAACGGATTTTGTATCATTCACGCTATTGACAAAATCGCTTGCGACCCTGTACGCGCGGAATTAAAAAAAATACTAGCCAAGTGTTTCACCTGACTATGTGCTTCATCTATTTCCAAATTTCAGCGAAATACAGTTCTTTAGATATCTAACAAACATCCATCCAAACATTGGCATTTATAACATTAGTAAGGTACTGTGTTTTTAATCATCATCAGCTCACTATACGTCCCCACCGAGGGACTCGGAGCCTACACTAAGTTAAGTAATTTGTTCTTAATAATCTCATAAAATACTGTATCTCTATTACATATAAAAAAGACTATTCTCACATACAACTCAGACTACATTATTTACACGAGCAAACTCGGGTCGATTACCTACACATATAGGAATCATAAACAGTAACTGGCTATTCTTGTAATAAGTACTTATGTACTTGACACGAGATATTATGTTATACTCGACCACACAGCGGTGACAAAACAACGCTTTGTACATGTAAACAAACAACTTTGTTACGTATAGGATTGTATTAAGAAGACAAATAATTTAACGGAACATAGTACCCCCTTTTTTCACTTTTGAACCGGGTGGGGGGGGAGAATAAGGGTGCCTAAAACGGTGTTATTCGCAACGTATGGTCTACTTAGAGTCCGTTTACACTGACCAGGGCTGAGAAAAGAGCAGATTATCGCGAGTAAAATTGAGCTTTCTTTTCATATCATTTTAGGCTTTTGTCTTCATAAGAAAAGACGGGCAAACCGAAATTAAACCTTGTTTCAAACGATTAAAGTTCAATTTCATTTGCGATAAACCCTGCTCTCCGTCTCGATCTGTATACGGATTCTAAGGGAAAATTAAGATATGACGGTTGATACAGATGTGTGGAAGAGTAAGACATAATGGTCTCAGGGCAAAGGTCAGACTGATGGTTTAACTTACCGCCGCGTGTGCAACGGCCGCTCTGATGTGTACCTCTTTCTCGCACAAGTAACACCATATTCTCTCTGTCGAAATGTTCATATGCACACAATGCGAGGGATAGTTCTGAAAAACAAATGAAATTGATCAACAAACTTCGTGTTTCCACTGCATAAAACATATGTCCATCGCGTTCATTCTTCTTGGAAAAATTGAGATAGCGATATTTTAAAATAAATAACATCTACGTATAAAGTCTTCAAATATATATATATATATATATAAAAGAAAGTCGTGTTAGTTACACTATTTATAACTCAAGAACGGCTTTACCGATATGCCTGAAAATTGGTGAGGAGATAGCTTAGAGCCAGGAGACAGACATAGGATACTATTTATTCATTTTTTTTCGAATCTATGCCTTGAAGCGCTGCTTTTTATTTAACTTACTAATATTATAAATGCGAATGTTTAGATGGATGTGATGTGGATTGATAGATGGGTGGGCTACACTAATTAAGTTTTTTTATATATCCACGCGGACGGAGTCGCGGGCGACAGCTAGTTGAATTATAATTTTTAATTTTGTTCGCATTAGGTAAAAATGCGTTTAAAAAGATTCAAAACACGTGTACCGATTAATTTTATTCTAAATTCAACCATAAGCCTTTGATTTAAAGTTAAAAATAAAGCTTGATAACTTGATATTACAAGGTTTCAGGTGTCGATAGTATTTGTAACAATATCTTATCAACCGGATTGATTGTTAGAATATAATATGATATGTTAACGCGATGACTTTGAATTACTCTGATTGTATATACTAGTTGTCACCCGCGACTCCGTACATGCAGAATTAAAAAGAAACTTAATAAGTAGCCTATGTGTTCTTCCAGATTATGTTCTACATCTATGCCAAATTTCAGCGAGATCTATGCAGCCGTTAGCAGAGATACATTCCAACAAACATTCGGATTTATAATATTAGTAAGATATGAATAATAGAACACCTGCTACTTTATTCGAGATAATAATAGTAACTTCGACTTATCGAAAATAGTCTGCTTTAAATTTTTCTTTAAATTTTAAAGAAATTGCGTGAAAGTGCATAAAGCTACTGCTTTTTAAAAAAAAACTTTGATTAATAATTATAAGCAAAAAAGGTGGTTTTAAATTACGATTGAACTTCCACCCCGTACTACCTGTCGACCGCGACGTCGTCCCCTTGGAATTTAAAAGTAGCCTACGTGTTCTTCCAGACTATGTTCTACATTTGTGGCAAATTTCATAAAAATCCGTTAAGCGGCTCCGGAGATACCTTCAAACAAACTTCCATCCATCCATCAAAACATTCGCATTCATAATATCAGTAAGATGGTGAGTTTTCATTGCGGAAACATTTTTTATACACGTATTTCAACAATGAAAACCCACAGTATAATAACGAAACAAAAGACGAATTTTATTGATAGCATTTTGTTTAATGGAATGTTATTTCCAAACGCAATTTAACGTTTTCTTTTTATTATAGCGCGATTGTCTCGTGATGTATTAAGCAATTATTAGTATCGGTTTGTGTAAAATTTACACTTGTGTTTGTCGACGATTTATTAGTAAATAAAGCATAAGTATATAAGTAAGAATATATAATGATGGTTCAAAGTTCCTCGTTATCCTGCATCGGAAATAACCAGTCGCATAATTGCGACATCTTTTGTTTAGACACATTTGTTTACGCTAGCTAGAATAATAAATATAAGTACCAAGCGCTTGCCACTTCAGGCAAAAGAATACCCATATTATCGACGTGCCAAAAATTCCCCCGTTTTTTTTTTTGGTTTTTAAGGGATATATAACAGTTTTTTTTCTAAATTTACTAATATTTCTTTGACCATTCCAACTAAGCTCTATGCTTGTGCTAGGATATGATTTACCACAATAGTCGAATGGCGGGATTCGAACCCCCGACCTCGTGATCGGAAATCCGTACCCTTAACATTTATGCTATTGACACCACAGATTTCTCCACGTAAATCAATTTCAATACTTTACTAATTTCGTTATCCTTGCTGCTACATTACCACCCTACAAGTATTCCGTGTCGGGCTGGTATCATTTCCAGCGCCCTGGGCGAGGTTTTTTAAGGCATACATTATTTTAGGTGTTGGAGAAATCTTTTAAAGGTATCTTATGAGGTATTGCAGGCGCCCATTTGTGTTCGAGTGTGGGTAGTGTGGCGCCCTCGGCGATGACCCTGCCCTAACGCTACTGATTTACTTGACCTTAGACGGTCATTATTAACTGGTAACTTTTAAAATTTAAACTCATTTTAATGAGATTTTACAATAATATTGTTTAATGTTTTTTACTCTATAGTTACGTCAATGTTGCATGTCATGCAATATGTGTGCTTTGTTTATTTCTTTGTTATTTGCGTCTTTATTTAGCATCTCCGCTAAAATATACACGATTATACATATTGTTTATATAATGTAAATAAGGTAGTCTTCTATTTAAATACAAAACAAATTATGAAAATCCTTTTATGTAAGAACTAGCTGTCGCTGTTCAGTCTGTGCAGAACTAAAACAAAACTTAATTAATATCCTCTGTGTTATTCCATACTATGTTCTACATGTACGTTGTCCTGTCTACACGTCTTTAATTTGAATAAATTAATATGAAGTTAATATTTGATGAAAATTGTGAATCTAAACCATTCCCAGATCCCCTTGAACACACACAAAAAATTTCATCAAAATCGGTCCAGTTGTTTGAGAGAAGTTCAGTGACATACACACTCACAGTAGAATTATATATATAAAGATATATATAAAAGAAAGTCGTGTTAGTTACACTATTTATAACGCAAGAACGGCATTACCGATATGGCTGAAAATTGCTGAGGAGGTAGCTTAGAGCCAGGAGACGGACATAGGATACTATTTATTCATATTTTTTTTTTACTTTTTTATATATCCACGCGGACGAAGTCGCGGGCGTCAGCTAGTTTATAATATTAGTAAGACAACTTAGTACATGGATAAATCAATTTTTTAGTCTGTATTCAAAGTTTGCACCAATGTGGGTAAGGTGTTAACAAAAAACTTACATCATGCAACATTATTTGCAGCTGTTTTTTGTTTTAGTTTTTCTATACTAATATTATGAAGAAGTGAAGTTTGTTTTTTTTTGTATGTAATTAATAAACTCAAAAACTACTCGGCCAATTACAAAAATTCCTGAGTAACATATTCTATATTTATTACTACTTTTTTTAATCCATACAAAAGTTAAAATTTAATTCTTAAGTTTAAAGTACTAAAATAAAGTTAAAGTATTAACACATTCAATGTCACAACAGTTTTTATGAATTTAATTAAACTTATAAAATAAAATGGTGGCATTGAATGTGTTGACATTTAACCCTTCAGATGATAATAGTTACATCTCTTTTAAGATGTAACTATTATCATGTTCATTTGATTTTTATGTTATTATACTAATAATTACCCTTTGATGTATTGTACTGTGGTCATTTTTGACTTCAGAGCAGCCAATGTGACGGCAGTCAGGTTGCAGGCATATCCAGAGATTGGGTCCAGGGGCACCACAGTCAAAACATGTCAGCTCCTGAAAATATTATATTAAATTAATCTAATATTTAAGAAACTTTTAATTTATACAACAGGAATAACAGTACAGACAAATCTGGATAAGTAAGGGTCAGATGAAGGGACTAAAATATTTTCTCGCTAATAATTTATCTCTGAGTTTCTTGTTTATGAATGTCAATTATCTAGACCGAATTACTCTAGCTTATAGATTTCTTGCATATCCAGATTTTACTACATGTTTTGTTGTTGTTTTAACTGTAACCCACAGTTAAGTTTTGTGGTTGTTAATGACCTTAGTAGTAGAAAATAAGATAGAAAATACTACCATAAGGCAATTAGGGTAACAAAGTAAGTTAAAAATGTACAACATAAAGTATTAATTTGATTTAAATGAAATGAATTTTATCTTTCTCTGATTGTGTTAAAAATAAGGGATTTTGGAATGACTTGAAAGTTTTGGAAAGTTTATATCATATTGAGTCATGATTGAGTCATATTATAAAGCTACATTGAAATTTAATTTACATTGTTATGAGTATATTTGTTTTTTTTCCAATTATAACACATCATTTTGTGACTTACTTTCTTTACATTTTACATTTTGTGAACAAATTTAAAAACATAAAAATGAATCCCGATTCTCCAAGGTGACATGTTATATCACTTGGTATTTTTTTTTAAACTCACACAATAAACAAAAGAGTATTCATTGTTTGTGGATGTAATGATTCCAACATATAGAGATAAATTGTAAACACTTGAACATAATTTTCTAGTCATTGTATTAATGTTACATTTTCATTTTATAACATCATATTATATCTTGTATTGAGGGCTATAATTCGCGCCGACCAGTATATTGCATAATGACAACATAATATGTGAATGTTAATTATTGTAGATGATGAGGTTAGGCAGCAATAAAGTTAATGCTTACCTCGCTCGATTGCCATAATTCCTTCCCGAGTACATCAACCAATTTATTAAGATGCTCACAAGTCACACCCTTATCCATCACGAAAAGCAACAAGGTTTTCGAACCGAATTATACGTAAATATTAAGAAAATTTTCAATGTATCAAAGCTATTGTAAATACAGGAAATGTCATTTCCTACACTTCACAAGATAGTAAGGAAAAATCAGGAAAAATTAAGAAATAGAAAAGAAATTGATTAAAAAGAAACATTTCGTAGTTAAAGCTAGTTATTGAATTAAAATTACAGAAATTTCCTACAACAAAACGTTCCGTGACGAGCAAAAAGTCAGGTTCATATACAGATAAATAAACAAATAAATCGAATCCATTCGGCACATGCTATGCATAGATTATAATCTGTTCGTTTTGATAATTATTGTTTCGACGGATCTTCCCATCTTTCTACCACCAACTTTTGTTTAATTCACTTTGATTGGAAAAATTAGATAAAATAATTAAACAAATTAGAAAAACGACGATGTTTTAGTCAGGTTTTAATACTGTCGGATGTAGAGGTATGATTTTGTTGAACGTTGATATTTTGGCATTGTGCCAAATAAAAATCGATTCTATCCACCAAAAATGTTTAAATTGCTCAAAGATTCGATCGTGTAGGAGAACTCATCACTAAGCTTACTTTAAAAAACGGCAACAGCTGACAGCGTGACATTGACAAGAAAAGATTTCAAACATCAAGAAAACGTAAATATAAGGTAGTTTTAAATAAAATATGAGTAATATTGTTAAGATACTGGTTTAAGTTCTTATAAAAAAAAACAGGAGGGTACGATGACGTCAGCATCATCTAGTAGTGCTCGCTCTTTGTTCGCCGAATCAAAACAAAGATTGGCTGAACGGGTGCAAGTTAATATGAATAACATTTCTTCTCTCGCCAGACAAATTCAACGTGGATCTAAATCTAATGAGGTAGATAATACAATAAATTTATAAATCTAATATTTTTTTCAACTCTATATTTGTAATGTCGGCCCCAAAGAGATTCATACAGATCAGCAGTGGACGCTCAAAACATTTCCTTACTAATAATTCAATAACTTTATCAGAAGTGTAAACGTATGTTGCAGAAAAATATCTCATCATATATGGGCATTGAAAACTAGATTTTTTACAGACAGGTAACTAATTGTATCCTGTCTATTGATACATGTATTGAAAGATTTGGACCCAATATCAGTGGTGCTGGTTTAGAATTCAATTTATTTCACTAGTATTTGAACACAACTCTGTCTGCGCTGAATTTAAAAAAAAAACTTAATTAGTATGATCTACATCTGTGCCAAATTTCACCAAGATCAGTTGAATAATTCTGAAGATACCTATTATAACATTAGTAAGATTTAATTTAAATAAAATTTATTGTATTCCAGCTGTCAAAAGCAGCACGTGATATGGCAGCTGTTGAACATGTGATGGAGAATAGCGAAGAAAATTTGAAAAAGATGCAACTAATTGGCATACATATTGGTTATCAATTTGAAAACATTCAAAAATCAGCAGAAATGATCGTCGAAATCAATGACCAGGTTGCATCAATAAGAAGACCGAATTAACATTCTTTAATTTTGTAGGTATTTTTAGTTAAATTATTATTTTAATATTACGTATTCATTTATTTATCATATTTTAATACAGTACATTTCATATCCAAAATTAAAAAAAAAGTACAAAAAATATTATATTAAAAATAGAACACCACCGGCTGCAGAATCCCATGTCTCAAACAACCAGTGGTTGGGACTGCAGAGTCAGGAACATTCTCATGATGCGCGCGGTTTCTAGGATAACTGCCTTTTGTATCGGGACCTTATTCCAACTGTTTAGTGAGAGCTTCTTATTTTAATCATATTTATTTTATTATAGAAATTGTTTTTATTAGCATTCTCACCTTATTATTGTATGGATAGATAAATAGAAAGAGCTGAATACAGTTTAAATTAATTCTAAAATCTATTAGTAGAGTATTTTCATTGTTGAATATATTTATCCTTAAGATTTGCTATCTTACTAATATTATAAATGGAATTGTTTAGATGTATGGATGGATGTTTGTTTAAAGGTATGTCCGGAGCGGCTGAACAGATCTCGATGAAATTTTAGATAGATGTAGAACATAGTCTGGAAGAGCACATAGACTTATTATGTTTGATTTAATTCTGCGTAGACAGAGGCGATAGCTAGTAGTGTTATGAAAATTGTAAACTAACTTAATCAACTTATGTAATGTGTACAATTTTACTACTGAACAATTATATAGTAGGTAGGTATTAAAAAAACTTATAGGATTAAATTCAGTACCAGGTTATTAAGGAAAAAACATATATCTCACTAATATTTTTTAATCAAATAGATGAATATCAAAGGAATCATGATCTTTTAATTCATGTGAGAAAGAATGCTTAAAGACTTCTTGATTTACTTCTTGATGAATGGGAATCCAGTACTGTAGGTGGGATAGTACGCCGCACTAGAGTAGATGGGCGCGGGGTAAGTTGGAGCGAGGGGTGCGTTGGCGATGTAGGTGGAAGTGAAGGGAGCGGGGGCGACGTAGGCGGAGGTAAGGGGCGCCGCGAGCAGTTGGGGGGAGGGAGAGGCGGAGCGCTTCTTGATGAAGTGAGCAGGCGCAGCGTAAGGCAGCACGGCGGGAGAGTACGCGGCCGCGATGCCAGGCGCTACCAGGGTGGACGCGTATGGGGTGGCTAGAGCCGCTGGGGCGACGTAGGCACCATTAGAGATGTAGCTGTTGTAGAACTGCGCCTCGCGCTTCTTGATGTAGTGTGGGTAGGACCAGCCGGTGTATACGCTGGGCACCGCTGCGGGGTAGATGGCGCTGGAATGCTGGACATAGGTGCTGGTGACGGGAGCCGGGATGTCTGCAGTAACACGTACGTTGGGTGCTAGGAACACACCGGGCTCCGCAACCGCGGCGCATACAAGAGCGGAGAGTACTACGAACTTGAACATTGTTGAAGTGACTGATGCCTGTTTAGTTTGCCTTAATGTATTTATATGAAAACTCGAACAAAGATTAATAACAGCGTTTTAGTTCAACGATCGCAAAGCTGAATCAGGTAGCTTGATATTTAGTACAATCAATCGAAGGTCAGCAAGAAGTCTACTAATGAAATAAACCTAAGTTTATATGTTAAAATTGTATACAGTTTAATCTGATGTTCTGAGATAAATCTATGAACTCTATAATTGGAAATTTCTTGCTTCAGTCTTACTAAAGATTAGCACAATTCTATTCCTTTATTCCATGTTAGCCATAGATTTTGATTGTTTTTTATTTTACCTTATTACATTGTCACTGGGTGGTTATTATTACTAGCAGGCGAGGTCGCGGACGAAAGCGCAAGCGTGCCCGTGGCCTCGCCATGATGCGTAGGAGGAACAGAGGGGTTTAGTGGGTATGCTTCCCATCCGGAAGAGAATGCCACATAACTACCGCGTCCCCCCGTGGCGCGGAGTATGCATAAAGCATTCCCTTATGAAAAAAAAATAAATTAAAACGAAAGAGGACATCTTGTAATTGAAATCCGTAATTAAAACGTATAAATGTTATCATTTGAGACTGATAGATTAACCTTCAAGTTTCAGATATGCATGCACCTTGTAAATAAAATTAAATTAAAAGTAATTTTAGTCATGCTGAGATTTTAATGTACTCGTTTTAAGGTGAGTTTCCACTGCGGAAAACTTCATACAGAAATGTAAAATTGTTATTTAAGTATTTCAGGGAGAATAAGAAAAATTCAGTTCAGTTTCAACTCAATTAATTAAGGCTTAAGGCGAAATGATTTTCCCCATTATGTTGATGTTTTTTTTTATCTGAATTCATTCTTTGTGGCCAAGTACTAATTTATTTATCTGTCGCCCGTGAATCCGTCCGCGCAGAATTAAAAAAAACTCTATCAGTAGCCTATGTGTTCTTCCAAACTATATTAATTATGCCATCTATGTCAAATTATAGCGAGATCCATGCAGCTGTTTTGAAGATATCTTCTAAGAAAACCCATTCATTCATATATCCAAACTTCTGGATTTATAATGTTATAGTAAGATAAAAAATACGTAGTCCTATTTCATATAGTCTATTCGTACTTTCTTTCGTCTTTGTCTACCCTTTAATTGAGTGACATTTCAATGTGAAATTGAATATCTTGTTACCGTTCGTCTACTCTTAGCCTGAAAGATTAAAACTTGCGATTTCAAGTGATAAACCGGCTTCACTTTTACAACGTACGACTCAAATGTGAAGGCGGTTCATTGTCCAATGTTCTGAAGTGATACCAATTAAGTTTTATGTAAATTTATTATTGTAAATAAAATAAAACAGTTGCTATACCGGAGACAGCTTATCCTGCAAGTCTTTGTTGCTGAGGAAAAACGTTTTGTATTTTTTAAAAGCAAAGATTAGTTCTGCCGGTATCGAGTTAAAAATCAATTTTAAAACCTTTTTTTTTTAAATAAAAATGTTACTCCAGGACTGTAAAGCAACACACATAATCCTTAATATGTGTCCTTTCACACGAAAACTACTGAACTGATTTAAATGAAATTTGGTATACAGATAGTCTAGAGCCTGGGGAAGGACATAGGCTACTTTTTAAAGCTAAAAAGGGGTTGTAAGGACGCACATCTAGTGATGTATTATATAAGGGACAATTTACATTACCAATCTTTTTTATATTTGCTTAAAATTTAAAGGATTTAAAAGATAGGAAAGAAGTTTCACAAAAGCTTTTAGAAATCGGTAGAATTAGTGATACTGTAAAGAAAGGAGATATGTGTTTGTTCAACTTATAATAGACTAGCTGGCGCCCGAGACTCCATCCGCGCGATAAATTAAAGAAAAAAACAATTGGTGGCAGCGTAATGTTATATAACCTAAAGCCTTCCTCTATAAATGGACTATTCAAAAAATAATTTTTCAAATCGGACCAGTAATTCCTGCGATTAGCGTGTTTAAACAAACAAATTCTTTCGCTTTATAATATTAGTACAGATATAATATCGTAAATGCAAAATCCTATAAAGATGTCAATGCCGTGTCAAATGCAGATCCGTAAACAGTGTTTCCACATCGGTTAAATAGCGTGAGTGTTACGTGTGTTAAGTTCAAAAAATAACAACGTGGTTGAAAGTAATTCAACAAAAAGAAATATGTGCGTAGACTCCGATAGATTGGTAAGCTCGATACTAAAGTTCTTCAAAGGCCTTGTAAGTAAATATCAAGCTTCCTGTATATAATCTTTGTACGGACAATATGCATCGCCTACGTAATTAAAACATATAAATAGATTGCTTTCATCTATGCAGGCATCAGTCACTTCAACAATGTTCAAGTTCGTAGTACTCTCCGCTCTTGTGTGCGCCGCGTTGGCGGAGCCCGGCGTGTTCCTGGCACCCAACACGTACACTGGAGCCATCCCGGCTCCCGTCACCAGCACCTATGTCCAGCATTCCAGCGCCATCTACCCTGCAGCCGTGCCCAGCGTATACACCGGCTGGTCCTACCCACACTACATCAAGAAGCGCGAGGCGCAGTTCTACAACGGCTACATCTCTAACGGTGCCTACGTCGCCCCAGCAGCCCTAGCTACCCCGTACGCGTCCACCCTGGTAGCGCCTGGCATCGCGGCCGCGTACTCTCCCGCCGTGCTGCCCTACGCTGCACCTGCTCACTTCATCAAGAAGCGCTCCGCCTCCCCCTCCCCCCAGCTGCTCGCCGCACCCCTCGCCTCCGCCTACGTCGCCCCCGCGCCCCTCGCTTCCACCTACATCGCCACCGCACCCCTCGCTGCAACTTACTCCTCGCCCATCTACTCCAGTGCAGCGTACTATCCCACCTACAGCACTGGATTCCCTTTCATCAAGAAGTAAACTCCATAATACGGATTTATTGTAATACTGCAACTTGAATATCACGTGCAGTGAATGGCCATAGCCAAATAAAGATACAACTGAAATACATTTTATTTTTATTTTATCTTATAAAACATTATTTTAAACGATTTCGTAGCAAAACTAACAGTCACGTGATACTTTTTGATATTACTTCTATGTAGGCTAGCACTAAGAAATGAGTATAGGAAATTCAATCCCAAAACGTCCGAACTGAACGCTTGCACGGAGGAATGTTTTTCTTTTTCTTGCTCGTTTGTTTTATCTAGTAAAGAAAAGGTTAAAATTAAGCACTTAAAAATTATCATAAACATTTTTTAAAACAAATAATTAGCTTCATACTCGTTTAGAGCATTTTTCAAATGAATCCTGCAATGGTTTAAAATTGATATTTAAAGTTTATATCTTGAATTTTTTACAACTTAAGTAAGAGGCAGAACAGTGACAGGCAGCCGTCTGTTATAATTAAGCCATAACAATTATGCCAAATTTCAGCGAGATCCGATGAGCCGTTCCAGATATACCTTCAAACAAACATCCATCCATCTAACCATTCGTATTTATAATATTAGTAAGATTTTGTTTCGATTCCAAGTAAGTAAGGCCAGAGAGATAACGATAATGAGGTTGAATATGAGGCCTAAAGACTATTTTTCGTAGAACTTTCCGTTGCTACGTAGACTATCAATATATATCTTTATAAATATTGGACCATTAAGATGTGATTTGCTCTTCTTTGTATTATACTTAAACTTGTTTTGAGCTTTAACAATTATTGAAAAATTCATTCTCTATGCTACTAGAATTAGTGTTGAAACACATGTTCTGTAAACGGCAAAGTTAAGCACAGACTATGAAGAATTTCTGATTTTAAGTTAAAACTAGTCTGATCAAAATTATATTTTATTTAATTTATATTTTACTAATATTATAAATGCCAATGTCTAGATGGGTGGATGGATGTTTGTTTGAAGGAACGTATAGAATGGATCTCGCTGAAATTTGGCATAGATGTAGAACGTAACTTGGAAGAACGCATAGGCTACTTTTTTTTTTAATTCCGCGCGGATGGTGTCGCGGGCGACAGCTAGTTTGAATTATAAAATAAATGCTATTGGTATATTAGTAAAGAGTGATGTTGTATCCATGAAGGTTTGTCTGGTATAGCGGTATTGGCTCACACTTTGGAAATTAGAGATTGCAAGATCGGATGCAAGTAAAATTAATGGAATATAATTGCAATTGAGCAGTATAAGAATGTCTTTTTTTATATCATAAGGTGGCAAACGAGCGAGCCCATAGACATAAGCAATTGTATATGCATTGCCTACCTTTAATCGACGGAGGAGAGGATGCACATAAAGAAAATATGTTCCCTTTCCATGCATCCAAACGATCTGTGAACGATAGAATTAAAAATACTTTTGTAAGCGATGAATGTCGTTTAAAAGAGGACGTTGTGAGTAGAGTTGATAAAGGCATGCATAGATTATTTGGACACCTTGAAAGGATGTATGGAAATTTACAAAAAGGAAATTTATGAGTGTGAGAAAGACACCATCCAGATTGATGGAATACTCAAGACGGACGATATTAAGAGCACCCGAAACCGAGGAACATGGATGCGTAGATGTATGAATGTAGAAGAAGCGAGAGAGGTGTATAGGGACCTCGCAAAATGGTAGTCCGTGGTCTCTGTCTAGTCCTCAGGTTACGGGCGTGTATTTTTTTGTGTTTACGTTGTTGTTTTAAAATGTACTTGATGAAATAATTCAAGAACCTTTTATAGTGAGAGGATAGTAGTAATACATTTAAAAGACAATTTAAATATAGGTATGCTTTTATTTAATACAAAATTGCTATGGCACTCCGTTGAATTCTAAAATGTTTAGATGTAAAAAGTTAAGCTAGTGTAATACAGTTTTTAAATGTTGCATTTGTTTGTATGTATCCGAATGGCGGTTCTATTTTCGTCAGGATTATATTTAATTGTAGTTTAAATTACTTTTTGATGAATGGGAATCCAGTGCTGTAGGTGGGATAGTACGCCGCACTAGAGAAGATGGGCGCGGAGTAAGTGGCAGCGAAGGGTGCGGAGGCGAGGTAGGTGGAAGCGAGGGGTGCGGGGGCAACGTAGGCAGAGGCGAGAGGTGCGGCGAGCAGCTGGGGGGACGGGGAGGCGGAGCGCTTCTTGATGAAGTGAGCAGGCGCAGCGTAGGGCAGCACGGCGGGAGAGTACGCCGCTGCGATGCCGGGGGCTACCAGGGTAGACGCGTATGGTGCGGCTAGAGCCGCGGGGGCGACGTAGGCACCGTTAGCAATATAGCTGTTGTAGAACTGCGCCTCGCGCTTCTTGATGTAGTGCGGGTAGGATAGGCTGGTGTATACGCTGGGCACCGCTGCGGGGTAGATGGCGCTAGAGTGCTGGACATAGGTGCTGGTAACGGGAGCCGCGATGGCTGCAGTGTAGGTGCGTGGTGCCAGGAACACGCCGGGCTCCGCCACCGCGGCGCACACAAGAGCGGAAAGTACTACGAACTTGAACATTGTTGAAGTGACTGATGTCTGTTCTTACTCCGGAGCTTATTTATATTAAAGTTGTATGAAGCTGAAGGCGTAGGTTCAGGAAGTTGATATTTATGTCGATCAAGGCCAACCGTACATCGAACTATCGTTAACGTTTAAACATTGCTATATTATTATCTGGTGGTAATTTATGCAAAACCAGCACATGTCTTTGACTACATTTCTGCTTATCTTTAGGAGACCAGTTGTAAGTGGTGGCATTATGCCACCACTGGTCAATGTCAGTGGTTAGTCACACAAAAGCTTGAATCGATTCTTAACAAAGGTCTACGCATAACGTCTTTTGTTTTGACTACTAATGTAGATAAGTATTTAACAAACTGAATAATTGAAATCAATTACTTTTGCTTCTGATGTAAACAACGAAAAGTTTTAGCAAAAATCATTTCTTGCAATTATTGAGATTCGCAAACAATTTTTTTTTGTAGGCGTTTCTTAAAAGATGCTTTCGGATTAGAACAAGTACTCGTATAAATAGAATTTAATACGTATTTTGATTATTATCTATAAGACAAGTTTTTATTAATTCGATTGTAATAAAAAGCAATCGATCAAATTAATCTTATGACAAAAGAAGTGTTATTAAAAAAGAGGTAGTGACGACAAGTGAACTTTAAGTTTTTTATATGCATTTAGACATCGTTTAATAACTCTTGAACTATTTTCGGATAAAATAATATTATTTTGTACTCTTACTTGTAACCTCTTTAATAAATTGTATGTTATTTTACATCTTTTTCCAATCTGCAGTTTATGGTTTGCGATCCTCGTTTGACAAGCTTATTTTTTACTCTTGCTTTCTTTGTCAAAACCCTCGTACAAACACGAATTACCATCCTTCTCGTATTCTTTGAATAGAGACTTCGAAAAAAAGACATGTTTTGTACAGACGTATGGGCAGTGAAAACTCTCAGCTTGGAAATTTGATATTAATATTTTGGTAATGATACAAAAGTGCAAAAAACGAAAAAAAAAACATTTATCTTTACAACACTAGCTGTCAACTGCGACTCCGTCCGCGGAGAGTTACAAAATAATTAGTTGCCAATATGTCATTTTAGACTATGTTCTATATGTATACCAAATTTCATCGAGGTCCGTTCAGCCGTTCTGGTGATACCTTCAAACACACATCCATCCATTTAAACATTCGCATTTATAATATTATTAAGAAGTAATCATTAACGAAACTAGTTTCAAGGTTATTGCGAGTGAAAACAATTGAACTGATATTCGATCTTCTTTTATTTTTGGCAGATAGATCGAGGTTGCTGTTTACTGCATGAGAACAGTAAAAGACCATTCCCTCCTGGTGTAGGCTGATGGATGTAGCTAGCATGGATCCAGTTACAGTTGCCATTAAGGTTAGTCATAAATTAATAATTCTCATACATTCTAAAAGATTTGCTAAAACAAATATTCCAAGGTTCTACAAATAAAAGGACTTAACATATATTTTCCACGTTTAGTCCGTTTGGTCATCTTCTCCTTCCCACCTTTTTCTAGTAAGTAAGAGATTTGTTGTAGAAAGTGCGCTTAGGAAGGGGAAATATATTTTTTCTTTACGACATCGCATCTGCATTTGTTGATGCCTATGGGTCATCACTTCGCTATTTTTGCGTTTTATGTAGCCGTCTGCTCGATTGCCTCCTTATATTATAAAAAATATAGTCCTACCTATTTTTTGTTCGTGTCATTTAAATAATTATATCGATGAAAGAAAATTGAATAAATTCTCTTATAAAAATAATCGTACCTAAATTGACGCGAAATTTAATGCATGTACACTGAAAACGTAATAATAAGTTTTTATCGTCTTTTTATCTTTCTATCTTCAATGTGTCTCTGACCTTATAAAGTTGTCAAGGAGTAAGCCTTAGTAGTGAGTAAAGTTCCGAGTTTACTATTGTGAACAGTTGTTTGAATAAATTTTGCGTGCAACGAGGTTATACTCGTAGTTTGCTTTTCCTAGTACATTGTGGGAATTTTCAATTAACGTTTTATTTTTATTACGCAATTATTTTACAACCTAACTTGGGTAAACTTTGAGTTTCTCTGTGGGTACATATGTATATGAATTAACTACATAATTACTTGACTATTTTTTTAATAGTCTTTAAAAGAGGCAAAGGCTTCAAATTTGCTTTTTATGTTTGTTACCTCGGAACTTCGCTTTTGGTAAATTTTGTCAAAGTTTTTTTTTTAAATCTAAAAGTACCATTATCTTGTGTTATTCCAAAAATAATTGTACAATTTATATTATGGACAAGATTGATTTGTAATTTTGTTCATATAAAATTACTAAACACTAGTAGTCGCCCGCGACTCCGTCTGCGTGGATTTATAAATATGGTCTTCCAGACTATGTTCTACATCAATGCCAAATTTCACTAAGATCTGTAGAGCAGTTCCGGAGAAAGCTTCATTCAAATATCCATTCAAACATTTGCAACATATTAGTATGATTTAAAATACTCTTAAAAATTAAATACCATAATCTGACTTAACTAGAATTATTTGACATTTTAGTAAGACGATATATTGATAAAAAGTTGACGATGATTTTATCCAATTAGTAAATTCATACGTACCTAAATGTCAATCGTTTAAAAGCCGGTTGCTCTCTGATTTTATAGAACACAATGAATCATAATGAATGTTCCGATAATATTGGCATGTGTATCTTACTAATATTATAAATGCGAATGTTTGGATGTATTGATTTGTTTTTGAAGTTATCTCGAGAACGGACATATGGATCTTGCTGAAATTCGGCATACTTATAGAACATAGACTAGAAGAACACATAGGCTACTAATTATTTTTTTTTGCGCGGACGGTTTCGGGGGCGTCAGCCAGTCTGAGATCATTTGATTATACGTAACAATGCCTGCAAATTGGCAACATGAGCTATAAAAATGTATATGTTGTCTGTTGCAAGACCATTGAATTTGGTTTACGTGTATAGTTTTAAAAACAAATCGGTTTTATTAAAAAAAAAAACGGAAAATATACTTTCTGTTTGTACCAGGAAACTTTTTAGACCAATATATTATTATTTTTTTTGGAACACATAAAAGTGCAGCATTGAAAAATTTATATTTATTTTGAACTTAAATAATCATATTTATAGACTATGCCACATTTGAAAATACTCAGTTGAATTTAACTATGCATTTCGTAAATGTCACTCAAACCGGTTTCTATTTCCGTAATATTTAAGACTAGCTGTCGCCCGCGATTCTGTCTGTTCGGAATAAAAAAAAACTTAATAAGTAGCTTATGTGTTCTTCCAGACTATGTTGTACATCTATGCAAAATTCCATCAAGATCTGTTGAGTTCTTCCGGAGATATCTTGTAACAAACGTCCATCTAAAATTTCGCATTTATAATATTAGTAAGATAATTAAAATTAGAAATAAAATCACCAGTATTGTTCTTTATTCTTTATTTATTTAACTTAATTACAAAGATTTAGATATAGAAGCAGTCTTCTAGTCTTCGATGTTATTCTTTAATTTCTGGTATATCTCTTTTCTTGATTACATATAATGGCATTGAAAATTCTGGTATAAAAGAACTTGGTACAACACTAGAGAATATTGAAGGTTGGGGTAAATACGATAGTCTTTTGTTTATATAATGCGCAGGCGCAGTATAAGCTGATACAAAAGGTCCTTTAGGAAGTAATGGTGAAGAATAAGAATAACGTAGAGTTGGTGGTGCGTAGAATGATGACGCGTAAGGCGTTGCTGGAACATAAGATTTTGGAGGATCGAAATTTATTGACCTTTTATTAATGAAATGATTAGGTCTTGTATGTCTTCTTTGATGCGTTGTAGGGTAGCTTAGTGACGTCATAAACGCGTTGTCCTGTTTGAAAGTTTCACTTGTATCACTTTGGTATATTTTAAACGCACTCGATGTTACCACGAATAGACACAACACAACGAGTCTTAACATTATAACGAACTGACCCCTGACAATATGGCGAGGTATAGAAAGTTTCACTTATATTATTCGTGTACTAAGCTAGTGTGTTCGCGAATGCAAGGTCGACTGAAACTAGTGAAAGGTTTCACGGATTGTGAAATTGTAATATTGTAGTAGTTTAAATAACTTTGATTATAATAATCTAATGTTTTAAAAGCTTTTTAAATTTAATATTCACGTGGTTTGTAATAACGCGCAGTGCAGGCGATAGCTCGGCTATGTGTAAGGCCAACAACTGAGGAACGGTTTTTTTGCCGGTCACATCTTTCCTAATGACTCAACCTCGCAACAAAATATATCACCTTTAGGATTTTGTCGTAATAAATTAAATTATAATATTAATTAGTAGTCCCGGATATACCATGTGATCTTAGATGTCGCGTAGATTGTTTTTTAATTTTTTTATGAAATTTAATTTTGTGTTCTTACGTGTTTTTTACGTAAATTTATGTTTTTTAATCATTTGTACTTGAATATTTGAAAGCATTGATAAGCAGGGTATGCGTAAGATGGGAGAGAATTCAGATATGAAGGCTGATCTTCAGTTTACTTTTACTTCTGCATGCAATATACTTACTTTATGTCTATGTATGGAAGATAAGTATGTACTGTAACGATCCATCATAAAGAATGGTTGAAGACGTCTTATAAACAGCTGCAACATTTTTTGTGCATTGAATTTGATGTGATGGTTCAGATTTAAATTGACATTTAAAACCTATAGATGTGGTGGAAAATTTTCAAAATCACGCATTCAAATAATTTTATGACTAATTTAAAACAAGAACATATGGAAAATCCGGATTACGGTTGTTTTTTTTAATTTGGTATAATTGTGAGATACCATTGCCAAAACATCCATACAAACAGTTTAGTTAGTTCGTTTAAGTTTTAAGAAACAGTTCTGTATAGATACGGACGATAAAACACATCAAAAATAATTTAATAGGCTTCTAGTATTTGTAGCGCCTGATAGTTTGTTACTATTTAAAATGTA